AAGATACTTCCAAGAGTCTCCCCAAAAGATCCCAGCTAGTTAACACTTCCATTTCACTTTTGTTAGGTCCTGAATCCCTCAAACCAATGAAGTTGATGTGGACTTCTGACCTACACACATTGTGAGATAGTAACTTGGAATTGTTTGAAGAACCTAGGTTTGTGGAAATTTGTATGGCAGCAATAAAAAACTAATAGAAGGCTGTTCCATTATGTTACTATAACACAACATTTAAAAATATCTATTTTACTATTGATGGATTTGGATTGCTTCCAATTGAGACTTAATATGATTAATGACGCTAAGAACATTCTTATATGTGTCTTTTGACAGATATATGTACATATTTCTCTTGGTAGATAATTAGAAGTAGAATTGGTAGGTTGTATTATATGCATATTTCAGCATTAGTAGATATTGCTAATCAAAGTGGCAGCAGTAATAGGTACTTCTACTCATAGTCTATGAGAGACCCAATTGTTCCATGTTCTTGCCAACACTTGGTGGAAAATTTATGGTGCTAAAGAAGAAATAATAATGTTTGTAAATGTTTGTTGCTACTTCATGGTGTTTTGATTTGCAGTTCTCTGATGACGAATGATGTTGAGCATATTTTCATATGCTTACTGGATGCTTGAAGGTATTGTTTGAGAAGTACCTGCTCAACACTTTGTCAACCATTCAAGCAGTCCATAAGCAACACCATAGCTGCTTGATTGGCTCACCATATTTCCATAAAACTGGTTAGTAAAGAAAGAGTGAGCTCAAATGGATTTATAGAGCACAGGAAGCATCATAGCCTTCTGTTTACATCTCATGTCCACAAAGTTCCCTCTCCCCACACATCCTATGGGGAATGCAGAGGTGGGCCTAAGTGGATGCTACATCTGTGACATAGGTCTATGCCTCAGCTAAGAGCACGGCTCCTAGGAGCTTCCCAGTCGTTTATGGGGCTGCTGCTAAACCTGCCCTTTCTTTATATCTGAGAAAGAGTTAATAAACATATGCAAGTAAATCTTCTGGTATGTAAACAAATTTTCTTCCAGAAGAGGAGGGAGACTTCAGTATCATGGAAGGTAAATAAATTTTCTCTGTGACCCAAAAACCATCTCTAGCTTCCAAGCCTGTTTGCCACAGAAATACTCTTGAAAAGATATATATTATATGATTACATAAATACATACATACATACATATATTATAGTTCTATGTACATACATGCACATACCTACATGTATTATATAAATATTAAACTATACATATATAGTTTTATAATATAAAATATTATTATTATATTGCTTTTGCTGTGTAGCATAATTTTTATTCTGTCTTCTTTTTCTTACACAGCACAAAATATTGTCTAATTTCTATTGTAATTTTTTTCTTTTACCCATGGGCTGTTTAAAATTATTATTATGCAAAAATTTATAGATTTTCTAGTTTCTTTTTGTAATTTATCTATGGTTTAATTTTATTGTGGTCAGAGAACATAGTCTGAATGAAGCTTAATGCTTTGAATTTGGCTAAGACTTGCTGTAAAACATTTTGGGAAATGTTTCATGGGCACTTAAACAAACGTGTATTCTTCAGTGATCTGTTATACTGTTCTGTATACACAAATTAGGTTAAGTTGTTTAGTTTTCTTTAAACTTCCATATTCTTATGGTTTTTTTTCTGCTTATTCTATCAGTACCTAAAGAGATAAGTTAAAAATATCTCAGTCTATTTCTCCTTTCAGTTCTGTCAACTTTTGCTTTATGTATTTGACTATATTATTAGGTAAATAGAAATTTAAGGTTGCTATCTTTACAGTGAATTGACCCTTATATTAAATGTCCCTCTTTATCTCCAGAAATGTTTCTTTACTTAATGTCTACTTTGTCTGATATTAGTATAGTTAAACTAGCTTCCCCTTAGGTAATTATCACATAGCTTACCTTTTTCCAACTACTTTCAATTTTGGGGTCATGTAATATTTAAGGTGTATTTTTCATAAGCAGTTTATAGTTGAAGTTTATACTTTTATGCATTCTAAAAGTTTTTTCCCGTGATTACATATTTAGTCCACTTACATTTTGTGTGCTTACTAATATATTTGCTTTTATAGCTTCTCTCTTGCTATTTTTCTTCTTGTTGTCTCATCTGTTATTTCTTCCCTTTCCTCATTTATCTTCCTTTGAAATAATATTTTTATGATTAGTTTTCATCAATTAGTTATTTAGTTATACATCCTTTTATATTTATTTTATTTAAGTATTTTTTGTTAGTAATTATGTTGAAGGATACAATATTCATTTTTAACTTACTACATTCTATCTTCAGATAGCATATTTTCCACTTCTTTGCAATGCAAGAACTTTGTAACACTTCTCTTTTCTGGTACTCTTCATTCCTTCCTGCTTGTCGTTTCTTTGCTCCTATATAATATTGTTTTCTTTGGTGTTAAGAACTGCCTTTAGTATTCCATCTGTACCATTCTACTAGAAACAAATTTTTCCATTTTTATTTGTCTGAAGTCATGTTTTTCCTTTAGTTTTTGAATAATTCTTCACTGAGTATAGAATGCTGGGTTGATAATTATTTTCTTGTGCTAGCTTTAAAATATTATCATATTGTCTTCCAGCTTTATGATCATTGTTGAAATGTCAGCCATAAATATTCATGTTGCCTCTTTGGAAATGATGTTTCTATTTCTTTCTGGCTGCTTTTAAAATTCACCCTCTGTCTTTCTCTAATTTTTACATATTTTTTCTTCATTGCAATTTTGCCAGAAAATGTCCAACTGTATTTCCCTGGTATTTAACCTGTCTGAGGTTTTTAGGTTTTTTTATTCATGGCTTCATGTTTTTCTATCACTTTGGGAACATTCTCAGTTAAAATCTCTTCAGAATTGCCTCTTCTCTATTCATTTTATTATTCTATAGGGCTCTACTTATAGGTATTTTTCATATGTTCTTTGTGTCTTGCATGTCTTTTAATTCCTTTTACCTATTTTTATTTTAAAAAATAATGCTTTAATCATCATATTTCAGAATGAGGCACTATATACCTGATGGCACAGAACTGGGATTTGTCAACAAAAGGCTCAGATTCTAGGGTGATTAAGTGGGGATCCAGCCTTTTTACTGAGATACTTCCAGAAGTCAGTATCTTTTCTCTTAGACTGACCAATTTCCTTAATAGTAACTGAACAGTTTCCTGCTCTGCTGTATGATTTGGAGTTTCAGAATTCTGATATTAGAGGAGAATAAGAGTTTACTCATCCCATCTTTTGGTATGTAGACTTTCATTTAACCCTCCTGTTTTCAGTAATATTAACTTGAAATAAAGATTACGTAGAGATGCATCTCTAAGCAAAGGTCTTATTTGGAAACAAAAAATTGTGATTCAGGATACATAGACCAGCATAGCCACAAGGTTTGTCTGAAGAACAAAAGGAAAGGCTGGGGTTTTATTGGGAAAAAGAACAAAGTTATGTAAGCTGTCTTGAAGGAAGTTTTACTGGTGCTGGCAGTACCTTGAGGGAACTGGTGACTTCTGATTGATGAGTGTCAGCAGTTACCACGTAAGACTTAAAGTTACAGATAGGACTTTGTGCTTTTGCTGTTGAATTACATAAAGAGTTTCTGGAACAGACGTGCATGGTCTGGGTGCCTTTCTCCATGGCCTCTGAATTCATTTTATTTGGGTATAACGTGAAGGACTGTATTTTGTAAAATTAATTTTCACAGTAAGTTCCTCAACCCAAACTGGTGTCTGTCTGGTTAGACATCTCCAGAGGGAACTTTCCAGTCTTTGGTTAATGCATAGCAAGGGCAGACTCCCAGACCTAGATATTTAGTTATACTCCTTAAACAAATTTCCTACCAAGTTTTGTGCCTTCCTCGTTCTTTTTAATGCTTGCTTGACACTTTCAGGAGCATTTGTTGGGTGCTAACCTGCAGGCTTACATTTCAGCCTTATCCATTCTGCTTAATCACATGTCCTTTGTCTATTGACTTTTCAGTTTTCAAAATGACCTCTCAACTCACTTCTCCTTGTTCTTGAGAGTTCATAGGTTTAAAATCTTCTCTTTAAAACCATTTAAGTGGTGTCTAGAGAAGAAACTGGAATAAATAATGTGATCCATTGATCATTTTAAATTATAGGTACCAAAGAGGACAATTTCTCTACTTTATTGTTGTTGCTGAATTATTATTGCATCTTGTTATTTTGCATTTTTTTGGTGATGATGGAGGTAATCAGAGCAAATCAGGATTTACTGTGACTACACCAATAATATATTCTTACTCTAATTTTAGTTGAGTGTACAAGTTCGTGGTAGTTAAAACATTTCTTATTGAATATAGAGCAAAATAGAATCCTATATTTTCCTTTAATTCTAAAATGTGAACAAAAAGTAAAAATGTGAGAATATTGCCATTCTAAAACCATATTTACATATACTTGCCATAATATTTGCAGGTCAAATATTACTTTGATTCTGTGGCCTCAAATTATTGTTTACTGTATGTTAGGCACTTTGTATTAACTATATGCTACAGTATATAAGGAAGACAGGTATTATTATCTTTTTGAAATAGATGAATAAACTGAGAATCAGAGTTGAGTCAACATCTTGTTCAGAATTATGTAGCTAATTACTGCTAAGCCTGAGAGTCCACACTTAAGCATATTTCATAGTATTATCAAAGCAATGATTTTGTCTTCCTGAAAAATGCTTTCTTCCTTATCTGACATTTACCCAAAAAAGCCTTTAGTGATCTGCAATTTAGAATGAGCTGCTCCAAGATATGGAAAAACACAAACTGTGTTATTCTTGGCCAGTGTTACTTTCATTAGAATTAGGACACAGTTTTGCAATAGACTTACACACATATTTTAACTGCCTTTCCATTATTGCACATATGCAGCTTATGTCTAGGAAACTTTAAATAATAATAAAAAAAGAAATAATTGGAAACTGGAATTAATTACAAGTAAAACATTTTCTTCTAACAGAGAGAAGAAGAAAAGGATCATAAGGTGCGTTTGGCAATTGGAAATGGTATACGGAGTGATGTTTGGAGAGAATTTTTAGACAGATTTGGAAATATAAAGGTGTGTGAATTTTATGGAGCTACTGAAGCAAACATATCTTTCATGAACCACACTGGGAAAATTGGAGCAGTTGGGAGAACAAATTTCTTTTACAAAGTAAGTACAGCATTTTCCTTATGAAAGAAGTACATTGAGGTCTGCTAGCTCTCTTCTAGATACTGTGCCTGTAAATTATGGTAAATATTATCATCTATTTTTAAGTTGAGAATTTCTAGAAATAGAGTAGTGGGTTCTAGGTGAGAGATGGTGCTATAGGTTATGCTAACCTCAGTTATCTTCTATGTTTTCTCTCTTATATCACCATAATTATGCCTTTTTTTTGGTTCAGTTTCCAAATTTAATGATATAATATAAAAATAGGAAGCATAGGCCCTGATATATATTAATGTGACTCTTTCCATTTTCCTGGAGTATTTTTATTTCACTATTTCTACTTATCTTCCATCATTGATACCACTCAACCATTCTACACAGAATTTTAATATTTTGTAAACTATATTAAGATACCACTTAAAAGTAGCCAAACCAATGTTTTAGGAGGAGAAGATTGACAGCTGATTTCTCAGTAGCAACCACAAAAGACAAAAGACAGTGGACATTTACCTTAAAGTAGTTCGGAAACAATATCTGTGAAACTGAAACTTAAGAATATTTTTTAAGAATAAAGGCAAAAGTAAACATAGCAGTCTCAACCTTTATAAAGCAAAACTGATATAGCTTCAAGAGAAAATAAATCTTCAATCATCTTCTATAATAATAAACAAACTACTAATCAACATTATAAAAGACCCTGCATCTAACAACTGCAGTATATCTTCTTTATTCAAGCAGTTTTGTAACGTTTACAAAAGTTACTGGGCCAGTTAGCTAATTCCAATGAATTCCAAAGGATTGAATATTTATAAATTATGTTCTCTGAAAACAGTTTGTTGGTAGAAATAATGTTTTTAAAAGAGAACTAGATAATCTCTTATATATTTAAAAATAAGACATTTCTAAATTTCCATTCATCAAAGAAATATTATTAGATATTAGAAGATACAATGAGCTAAATCATAATGAAAATGTTATATTAAAAAACGTATGTATTTAGCCAGAACAGCTGAAAATTGGATGGAGCTAAGTCACCATGTCTATAAGTTAATTTTTAAAAAGACGACTAAGATAAAGTCAAAGGAAATAAAAGAAAGGAAACAATAAAGAGCAGAAATGACACAGAAAAAGCATTTGGTGAAGAATATAAAAATAAATAGAAATATAATTTTTAAAAAAGTAAAGAAATTGATTCTGATTGATAGAAGGCACAAGTAATATCAGAAATGGAAAGGGAATGTGGCTGCTGATATTTTAGACTTATGACAGTAAAAAAGGATATGTTGAGTAAGCTCTTATCAATAAATTTGAAATTATTAGATGAATTGGATGAATTTCTAGAAATGTACAACTTACTGGTATTGACTCAAGAATTATTTTATCACACTAAATGAAATAAATTAATACTCCAACATCTTCCCTTAGTTTCAGATAGCTTTCCTGCTCAGGATAATGAATATTCAAAGAGCAAATAATTTCTCTCTAACAAACTCTTCCAGACAATGCAGAAGGAGAAAAAAACTTCCCAACTCACTTTTTGACTCCTAAACCTGACATAAACAGTGCAAGAACAAAAGTACTCCACACAGTCATACATGTATGAGGAAAGTCTTTGGTTGATAATCTCTCTCCTCAGGTGTGTTTCCTCAGTGGCCTCACCTGTTCGCTGAAAGTAGCTCTAGCCTATAGCATTGCTGTTGAGGCTTCCAAAGCACCCTACTCAAGTTATATTTAGAGCTGCCTTTGAGGAGATCTTTAAGAATCCCATAGTGCGAACTTTGGTGCATTTGTATCACTTTCATCCCTAACTGCTTTAGTTTTATAGGTAGTTTTCTGTATACAAAACTGCTATACCTCAAAGAACATGTGGAAGCAACAAAGTATTTGCTTTTCTAATCCGTGGTGATTTTTTTCAGTATCTGGAAGTAATTGACAAATAATGTGTTTTTCATGCCACCACAGCTCACTTTTTCAGCCTAGTGGCCTGTTCAAAGCCGGTATAAATCACAGTAGAGCTCTAAACCTAAAGAAGGTGCAAACTATTTTTATAATGCATTCTTTTGGGATTTTGAGAGTATAGTTGACATCTCAGATATGCACTTTATTCTGAACAAAAGCATGAGGAAATAAGTGCTGATTTTACTGAGTTTTACATTCCTTGCAGTTAATGTTCTCAATTCATTGCACTGGTTCCATTACAAATTTGGTATTGATATTGAGCCCCTATTGTGAAGCTGAATCATTCTTACATGACCAACCTACGAGAGTATGATAATTTGTGTTTTATATTCTTGACTTTATTATAATTTTCTAATGCTTTAAATTTTGCCAACTGTAATAATGTCAATCATGTAAAAAGTCATGATTGTCTTCAATTTATTTGGAAAACTGATTTTCAACTCATTTTAGTTTTCTTTTTCAGTTTGGAAATGAAAAAAACAAAGTTGTGCCTGATACTATATGACTTCTAGTTTGTTTTTTATCATTTTATTCACATATTGTTTTGTTAGATAGCAGGTAATTAGAAAAATTTGTTTCAATGATTGTCTCATAATTAAGTGAGGAGATTTGATAAGTGTCTCTCAAAAATGCTAACCTAATGGAGGATCATGGTTATTATCTCAGAGGGAAGCAGCCTCCAGAGATAGAATTTTGCAGATGAAGGAGAAAGATAAGGCAGCAACACAAAGTTCCTACAACTCATTGTCTTTATGTGCTACACTTAGTATTTTAATGCATAAAGCTGAAGAGATATTGTCCCACATATTCCCTCAAGGCCAACAATATAAAAAATTTAGTGACAACATATTTGAGAGACAAACCCCAGTAGAATGATGGACTGGCTTCTCTTTTTCTACAGTATTCTCACCTGGGGAAAATAACAAGGAAGAGACAAACATAAAATACATAGATAAAGTAAAGCTTGAAAAAAGGGAGAAAATGAATGTAACTAAAAGGCAGCTGAAAAAATATGAATGCACATCAAAATAGTAAGTTCTCCAAAACAGCCAGGAAATGTTTAGGAAAACAATTTCTCACAGGCTTGAAAAATCCCAATAATATTCTCTTTGAAGATAAGAGCTCAAAAGAGAGGAAGGATCAAGGAAAAACATAAATCAACAAAAGAACTAAAAGTAGGCATGCTCAGCTCAAAGAAAAAACTTGAAGAAAAATGTAACTATTGCACAGATGATCGTTACACAAAAGAACTCAAAATCAACAGGAATATAAACATTGTTAGGGAGAAAGATCGGTGGAATTAAGGAGTTCCCCCAAACACAATAAAAAGAGCAAGCGAATGATAATTTAAAAATTAAGAAAAAGGATTTTGAAAACATAGACAATGACCTGACGTGTCCTAATTGGTGTTCCTGCAGAAAAAAACAGATCAAAGGAAAAAAAGTAATTTTTTCTACCCTAATAGAAGAAAATTTCCTTAAAGTAAAAACTTGAATCTTTAGCAAAAGAGTACACTATGTTTCTAGGGAAAATCTGGGATAGAATGATTATTAGAAAAATACATCCAGGTGAAAATATGAAACAAAAATTAAAGAACTATAAGGAGATGTTGAGGTAAGAAAAGCAAAGAATACGCAAAATGTAACCCCGGTGAGGATGGAAAACATCTCAGGCATCTCTCAAAACAAAACACTCAAGGCTAGAAAAAAAGGAAAGAATTGTCTTCACCTAAGAATTTTTGTTTTGGCTAAGTTGCTTCTCAAGTATCAAGTCAACAAAGAGGTTTTCTCAATGTTTTAAGAAGTCAGAAACTATAATACCCTCATATTTATAGGAATGCAATATTTCTTCCTAAAATCCACTGAATGAAAAATTATGGCCAACTTGAAGAGAAACCATAGAAATGAAAGAATCACCTTCAGTTAAAATGTCTGATGGCGAACATTTAATCAATTCACGTATAGAAGATTGAACAACTCTGAATTGTTTATACATGGAATAAAACCTGACAATGTAAAAATAATTATAACACTACCAAAAATGGGAGTTGGGAGGGAGGAAAGGAAGAAGTGATTGTTCTCCTGTCATATTGGCAAATCCATAGATACAATGGAATTTAAGATTTAAGTACCATCTAAACTTAAATTTAAAAATAATATGTGAGATTAATAAAATGACTCTTAATCATTTTCATTACCTATTTTATTATCTTAAAAGTAGGCATCTTTTAGGGATGGGGAAAGTTAGAGAACTTTGAAATAAGAGTTCCAAGACCACCATCCTTTCTGACATCAACTGCAATTTCAGGAGTCTTATAAGACCACTCTCAGGTTTGATAATTTGCCAAAAGGACTCACAAAACTCCACCTATTACATCTGAAGGATCTAGAGTATAATCGGCCCAGGGATGACATACATAAAGCAGAGTCCAGGAGAGTACCAAGGGTGAAGCTTCCAGTTATGATGTGTTGTGGAATCAGAACAGCATTGCTTTCCTGGAATTGTGTAATAATATGCATGACCTGATGCCAACTAGGGAGCTCACAGGAGTCTTTCTGTGGGTTTGGTTGTGTAATTCAGGTTGACTGTTCATATGGCTGGCCTCCATCTCCTCCCCTTTAGGAGGTCAAGCTGGGTGATCCAAAGCCCCTGCCCTCCATCACTTTTTTTTAATGCCTCAGAGACCCCATTCTAAATCATATTGTTGTCATCTAGTTGCCCAAGGGTCTTAGACAAAAAAAATGCCCCCCTATTAAGAACGACATTCCAACGTCTTCGAGATCACCTCCGAGAAGCCAGGGATGAACACCGGACCTCTTTTGGGGGCACGGTTAAGTTCTTTACTACACAGGGACTGATGCCTCACCTCTGTTCCCAACTCTACAACTATTTGACTTCATGACTTTGACAAGTTAATTTTCTCTTGGTTCAGACTTTCCTCATGTATTAATCAAGGAAATTAACTTTGTGTTCCTTTTCCAACTCATAAATTTACAAATCTGAATCTGAAAAGACACGTAGGTATGGATAAAAATTCCCAGGGCCAATGCATACAGTCACATAGGTGTGTGTGCATTGCACAGTTCTGTTATGAATGGGACACCCTGCAGCTGTGCTCCAGATGTGTACACATATACACATACATAAACATGTACACTTGGGGGATCTTAAGGTGTGGCATCTATTTTTTAAATTTTATGTTATTATAATGCAGTCATTTTTGTAATATGAGGACCCCTTGATGACAGGAAGGAGAACAGAAATATTTCTAACTGAGCATTGATCCTCTGCTCCGTGTACTTCTAGAGAATGTTGTGATATATTTAATTTTATTGAAATTATAAAATTATTCCATTTCTGACCATCAAGTCCCTTTTTCTGATAACAGACACATTGAACAGTAATTTGCTGTGGAATGAATCTCAGCCACACACATGGTTGCTCAATTAATCTAAAATAACACTAAAGGCAACATCACAAGTCACTGGGCAAATTTTCCAAAAAAACAAAGCATGTTGAAACAGGAGAGAAAAGAATGAGTAATGAACAGGGTTCTGTTCTTATTTGGCCAAGATGATAAAGGCAGTTCCGGAACTTCTGGACTCTTTCTTTCTACTAGCAATTAGGCAAGTGGCCAATATCCTGTTACCCAATTACAGACAAACAGCAACAAGATGCAAGCTCGCATTTTAATAAACAGTCTTATGTCTAGAATAACAATATATTTGCTTTGTTGCCTCTTTCATCAGCTCTAATCCCAAAATAGGATATTAATTTCTACCTCATAAGATGTTTTGATAATTAAATTAACTAGAGCTCTTCAACACTTAGCACAGTGCCTAGTATATAGCACCCAATCAATATTAATTGCTCTCATTAATATTTTAATTCAAATAATTAGTCACAACTCAAGTTACATGCTTATTTTACTAATGCTAAGAACCAGGGATATTTGCATTTAATCTTTGATAATAAATAATAGTATTGTATCTATCTCCATCATCTTTTTTCCCCACTTATTTATTCTATATGTCATTTCTCTTCTCCTGCTTTCCCCCAATTCATTCTTCCTATTATAATTTTATTGTCACTTAATTTTATTACCTTCATGTTAGTTTACTATTTTTGAACTGAGATTATTTAATTGTTGAGTAGAACATCAATTTTCTTATAGTATGAAAATAAGGAGGGCTGGGTGAAGTGGCTTATTGCTGTAAGCCCAGATGAATGGGGGTGCTAAGGTGGTAGGATTGCTTGAGCCGGGGAGACAGAGGTTGCAGTGAGCTGAGGTTTCATCACTGCACTGCACCTGGGTGACAGAGTGAGATATTGTCAAAAAAAAAAAAGAAAAAAGAAAAATATAGGAGGAGGTTGGACTAAACCAGTCCACAATTCTCTCCCAGGGTGAGAATTTAGTGGATAAATAAGCCTGCATGACATGGTCATATGGACATGATAGGGGCAGAGTAGATGAAAATATCAGGGATGAGAGAAAATATCCAATTTTTGGTTCCTGATGCAATGGGCATTTTCTAACAAATCTGCCATCCCACATTATAGAGTGTAGGTAAGTATCGAATGTTAGTTTAGGAGCATTAAGTGGATTATAAAACATTCTATTATAAAGACACATGCACATGTATGTTTATTGTGGCACTGTTTTACAATAGTAAAACTTGAAACCAACCCAAATGCCCATCACGGATAGACTGGTTAAAGAAAATGTGGCACATATACACCATGGAATACTATGCAGCCATAAAAAAGGATGAGTTCATGTCCTTTGCAGGGACATGGATGAAGCTGGAAACCATCATTCTCAGCAAACGGACACAAGAACAGAAAAACAAACACTGTGTGTTCTCTCTCATAAGTGGGTATTGAACAATGAAAACATGGACACAGGGAGGGGAACATCACACATCAGGGCCTGTTGGGTGATGGGGAGGCTAGGGGAAGGATAGCTTTAGGAGAAATACCTAATGTTGGTGATGAGTGGATGGATGCAGCAAACCACCATGGCACGTGTATACCTATGTAACAAACCTGCATGTTCTGCACATGTACCCCAGAACTTAAAGTATTTAATAAAAAGAGAGAGAGGGAAAGAGAAACAAGAAAATCTGGAAAAAAAAAAAAAAGTGAAAGCCTCAGGAGAAAAGGACAAAAGGGCTGTCAAGTAACCATACTTTTTAGGCATTTGATGTGTTTTGGCTTTTTTTTTTTAAGATACTGTGAGGAAAAGGGAAACACAATTTTTACATTAATATAGCTTATATTTTAGTTTTATTAAGACTTTTCATTTCAAAGGGTATTTTAGATAAATGACTGCAGAAAATGGTCCTTTTACCTGTAGTTGTCAGAGCATATAATTGAATGCCTGGATTGTTTCAGTATCTTGATACCACTCATTCATGATTAAAATTAGTAGTGTGTGGCAAAGTCAAGTGTACCACAGAAGAAATGAAACTGAATGCCAGTAAATAACTGCTATTTACTAATACTTTAGTTTTTAAATATTATTTAATTTGTCTTCAGTAAAAGTTAGTTGTTTTAATGAATCCATATTCCAATTATTTATTTCAATTAACATAAAGTCTACTACAGTAGATGTCAATGCACAAGTAACTAAATGCTTGTTTTTGTTTGTTTGATTTTTTTTCAGCTTCTTTTCACTTTTGACTTAATCAAGTTTGATTTTCAGAAAGATGAACCCATGAGAAATGAACAGGGGTGGTGTATTCATGTAAAAAAAGGTAAGACTAGTACTTGAAGACGTCTCCTCAAGCAAAGTTTCTGATCTCCTGCATAGAGACATCCCTCAGTATCCTTGGGGGATTGGTTCCAGAACCCCAGGTAGACACCAAAATTCATGGATACTTGTTCCTTATATAAAACGATATAGTATTTGCATATGAGATGTGCACATCCTCCTGTATAATTTAAACAGATTGCTTATAATACCTGATACAATGTAAATGCTACATAGTGTCATACTGTATTTTTATTTGTATTATTTTTATTGTTGTGTTATTATTTTATCTTTTTTCCCCAAATATTTTCTATCTAAGGTAGGTTGAATCCACAGATGTGGAACCACTAATATGGAGGGCCCACTGTAGTTACTAGTGAATTTCAAAAGGAGATAATGACTGGGTCCACTGTGTAATTTAACATTGGAATATTAATGTAGGTGGAAAAATTTTATTATTAGGTGTTAAGAGCCCCAGATGGATCAGTCAGATGGTAAATTATTAAAATTAAAAAGTGGTATCTATTTGGCTGAAACAATTCCTTTTTTTTTTTTTTTTTTTTTTTTTTGAGACGGAGTTTCACTCATGTTACCCAGGCTGGAGTGCAATGGCGCGATCTCGACTCACTGCAACCTCCGCCTCCTGGGTTCAGGCAATTCTCCTGCCTCAGCCTCCTGAGTAGCTGAGATTATAGGCACGCACCACCATGCCCAGCTAATTTTTTGTATTTTTAGTAGAGACGGGGTTTCACCATGTTGACCAGGATGGTCTCGATCTCTTGACCTCGTGATCCACCCACCTCGGCCTCCCAACGTGCTGGGATTACAGGCTTGAGCCACCGCGCCCGGCCCTGATACAACTCTTAATCCACCACGTCTAGTATATAACAGTGACAAACGTCTAATATCCTGTGTTGCCAAGCTATAATACAAAAATTAGTGAATTAATTTATCATTCTAGATATAATGAAAAGTCAGGCCAACCTGGATTTAAACAAGGTCTCTGACACTTAGAAATGATGGAACTTTGGACAGATTAGTCAACCTGTCTAAATCTTATTTTCTTCATATGTAAAGTAGAAGTTACAATATTTATTAAGTGAGGTTATTGTGGACAATTAAATAAGATGTATGTTTATTCCTGGGGGACCTGGTATGTGGCTTGTTACTTTCCTCTCCTTAGCTTCTTCCTTTCACTCCCCTACTCTGCCAAGGTAGAGTTTCTTACAATTTTAGGTTAGAAATTTTCATGAAAGCAAGTACCTCAATTAACCTGCTGCTGCATATAATAATAAATTAGAAAATGCAATGGAGAGATGTGCCCTTAGAATTGTTTAGAGATCTGGTATGAACAAATCAGGCCCAAATTAATTTTTGTTGCCTTAAAATATGTTTAAACTATATTTCAGAGATGACTTCCTAAATCTTTACTTCAAATGTAAAGATAAATGTGGCAAATCTGTTTTAATTTTCTGGTAGCCGAGAGACTGAAAAAAAATAGAAGTTTTGTCTATTAAAACAACAAATCTCCCGAATCTCTGAATTTCAAGCCTACTGGAATTTATCAAATATGTTTTTCCAATTCTATTCTATAGACACTGTCCATGGGAAAGCAATTTCTGAGGAGAGTGCAAAGAACTTAAACACACTTTTCTACTCTTCCGTTTCTTAAAATTACAGTAATATCTGGTATTAAAACTTGAATCCCAGAACTGTGCTTATGCAGCTTCTGGGTTTCATAAAAAGCTGGTTGACCCCAAATGTCTGTTTTTCTACTTTGGAATTTCCATTATGAGCTACTCAATATATTTTTTTTTAATTAAGCGCTGTGTCTTCACAATATAAATTATGCCTAGACAGGAAAGATATGAATACAATGTGACTTATTAAAACATTTGCAACAATTAGTTTGTCAGAGAAGAAAATGTCACCTGTGTCCTAAAAAAGAAAAAAGAATGTAAAGTTTAAAGGAGATACAAGAGTCTTGAAAAATTCTGAAATATAGGGAATGTAGACTGACATATCACAGAGGTAAGGCTTTGGAGTCAGAAAGACCTTGTTATTAAAAAATTAAAAAAAAAACAAAAAAAACTCCGACTCCTGCATTTGACAGCTGTATAACATTGGTGAATTCCTTTTTTTATACCTCAATTTTTTAACCTTAAAATGAAAATATTATCAGGGACTTTCTTACGGTTTTGTGATGAAGATTAAATGGGTTACATACGTAAAACATTCAGAATTGGGACTGTTACCCAGAAAGTGCTCAGTAGGTATAATAGTGGTGATGATGATGATGGTGATGATGATGATGGTGTTGGCAACGATAATGATGATGCTATGACACTCTGCTGGAGCAGAGAAGATTTGTTTTGGCCCATGACCTGTGTGTCCTTGAAAGCCAGGATGCCCAGGAGTAAGATAAATCGGAGGTGAGTAAAGCCTGTTGGCAGGGTGCGGTGTCTCATGCCAGTAATCCCAACACTTTTGTAAGCTGAGATGGGAGGATTGCTTAAGCCCAAGAGTTCTAGTTTAGCCCGGCAAATAGTGAGACTTTTCTCTACAGAAAGATAAAAAAGTAGCTGAGCCTGATGGTGTGCACCTGCAACCCAGCTACTTGGGAAGTTGAGGTGGGAGGATTGTTGGAGTCTGGGAAGTCAAGGCTTTGGTGGAGCATGATCATGCCACTGAACTCCAACCTAGGTGACAGAGTGAGACTTATTCTTTTTACAGAGCATTAAAAAGACAGAAATCACTCTGTAATATAGATTGCTGGACTCCAACTTCATCTGTCCACATGAACACTGCATCTCCTTACAGCAGGCATAGCAAGCGGACGGTAGCCTTGAAGACTTCTGGAGCAGTTATTGCTGCTGTCCTTTGTCCTCTTGCCTTCTTTTAGAAATAGTTTTTACCTTGCAGATTGCTGAGAAAAATCTTAATTAATTTGATTAAACTTGATTGGAAAGTTATTTCAGATAATGCATCTAAACATAACTGAAACTAATAAGTACCATGGACTAGGAGACTTTTTCAATGTCTCATCTCTTTCCCATCAAAGGTTTCCAGAATAGTATCCCAGAGAAATAAACCACTTTATTATAATAATGATTTTATTGGATCAGAAATAGTATTATACAGAATCTTTGCCACATGGTCATAAAAACTTGAATTTGAGTTCTAGGTCCATTTATCTCTCTGAGCATGGCAACTTACTTTACCCCTCTGGGTCCTAGTTCCTTGCTAGTGAAATAGGGATTATATCAATTTCAAAGGATTTCTATGCAGAATAAGCAAGATGGCATTTGCAAAGGGCTCATCGTAGTGTGCAATAAATAAAATGCTATCATTATTTTATTAACACCATCATTACAGTTATTTATATAACAAATGTCAGTAATATCTGTGGTAACATCTACATAATCCAAAACAAAAACAGCCATTGGTCTGTCCACCTGGGAAGTACAAGAAATGTAATGAGCCTTTTCTTTCCATTCAATTCCCTTTTTATTAGTTTTTCCAAAGTAATTTGTGTTTGTGGTAATCTATGAAAGCATGTGCTAGATATAGGCACCAACGGTAAATGATGTAAAATACAGAAATAGGTTCAGAGGAAGCTGAGATAAACAGCACTGGTTGTGCTGGCCAGATACAATATAGATACATGCATGGTGTGTGTAACAATAGTTTTAATCAGAGGGCTGCAAAAATGTCGTTATTTCTTGCAGGGGAACCTGGACTTCTCATTTCTCGAGTGCATGCCAAAAATCCCTTCTTTGGCTATGCTGGGTCTTACAAGCACACAAAAAACAAATTGCTTTGTGATGTTTTCAAGAAGGGAGATGTTTACCTTAACACTGGAGACTTGATAGTCCAGGATCAGGACAATTTCCTTTATTTTTGGGACCGTACTGGAGACACTTTCAGGTATGAAATGTCATGGGATGCACACCTTGTTCTGTAATTGTGAACTGTGCTTCTATAGAAACGTCAGAGACCACATATGCTTTAGCTTTCAGGGCAGACAGAGCCCTTTTATCTCCATGTCCCCTTATTAAAAAAATTATTGGCCATCTGTTTCTAGACTGAACCACCAGTTAAATTTTGATGTAAAATTTTATAATTATTTTAATGAATCAGTTTAGACCAAATCAGTGAGCTTCTTTTTAAGGAAAGTAAAACTAGCAGACAGACAGATGTAAAAGATAAATGGTAGGGTTAAAACAGAAAAGCAGTTTGGTCAAATGTAGTCTAATTCTTGACCTCATGATAAAAATTTTGAAACAGAAAATATCCCCTTTCTCACATTTCCTTTTTTAATTCCTTAAGATTATTTTAGGCCTATAAAATTATTTTGCTTTACTAGTCCAATGACTTGAATGAATGCTTGAATGAATAAGTAACTTCCTACATCCTTGCCTTCTGGTACCATGTTATAAGCTCACTTTATATAAAACTATTTCAATTAAAGCAAAATATTCATCAAAAGCATTAGAGAAGTCAAAGGGGTTGATACCTAGAAATTAAAGTGGGTCAGTATACTACAAGACAACTAGAGCTTTACTTTCAATTCTTATTACCAGAGAAAAGGAATGTTTTGTACTTCATTGTTATTTTACAAAATTAGATTTTTATAAAGATAGCCCTTATAATTATTTTATGTTTATGTATATTACAAAACATATTATAGAAGGTAACTTATTCAAATGAGATATAAAGTAATTTGATCGAAAAGACCAAAACTGATTTTGCTGAATTACTAACAAAGTCCTTCCTTAGAGATGTCTTTTATCTTGAAAACTACAATTATGTTGGTCAGTAGGTGCTTGCACACAGCCAAATGCAAGGCATTAATACTGAAACTGGTACCTAGTTTTTCAAATACAGGTGCACTAACTGGAATTTGATTTTTTCATTTAGATGGAAAGGAGAAAATGTTGCAACCACAGAGGTTGCTGATGTTATTGGAATGTTGGATTTCATACAGGAAGCAAACGTCTATGGTGTAGCTATATCAGGTATAAGTATATTTCATATTTTGGAAAGATTCTTAGAATAGAATTGCCACTATTTTTTAGTTTTGCAACAGTCTTACTAATTCAGCATTTTAATTTTTGTGTATTAAGATAAAGATTTTATTACTGTCTTGGCAAGTAATGCCTTTGACCAAGATAACAAAGTTCATGGTCACATCAGGGGAAAGGTACCAACGGAATTTTAATGCCTGTGTGTATTTTTAAGCAAAGCTTGAAAACTCTGATCAATGGCTCACTGCTTGAAATTAGTTACAGCTTTTTATTAGTCTATTATTTTTCTTTTTATGACTAGTGTTTGTAAATACCACTAAACAAGAGCATGTTCTACTTCAAGTGTTTGAAAATTCTGACTTGTAGTTAAGATGGATCTTTTTAAAAATTATTTTTAAATTTGTGCTCATTATCTTTATAAATATGCACATGAGGATTGTGTCATGATGTTGAAAATATCACAGAAAAGTGACCAGGTAGTAGTCATAAGACAGCCATTCTCCATTTTTCAGTGAATGCTTTTAGGTGCCGAGGAGATCAGGGATGTGAGTGTTTGGATAGCAGAGCAGAAGAAGGGAAGGCTAACTTTATAAATAGCCACTGAATGTTGGAAAAAGGTTCCAGGATGTTCTGACCCCTGTAACTAGCCACAGGTGGCATGATAAGCAGTAAATGATCTGTGGAATTAATTATGAAAATATGAATTTTTAGTTTCTTAACTTAAAAATATACACTTAATATTTTACATTAATATTTAGGATGTATATTTCTGCTGGACTATAGTTGTCTTTAAATAAATGTTCTTTCTTAGTATTTGTTTTAGTGATGGCAGTATGGAAATTTATTGTCATTTATAGTGTTTCCCATTCCATGTATTTTATTTCTGTAGTATAGGCAATTAGAGGTAGGCTCTGGTTTTCCCTGTCCTTAAATGATTTCTGGGGAGTAAATCATATGTTCAGGGAAGGACACAGACTCCTTTATGCTACTGTTGTTTTATTATTACTGAAATAGATTTAATGTCTCTGTATGTGTCAATTAGCATATACAGAATTATCTGTTAAAGTTTATTTGGTACTTAAAAATGGACTCTATTTCAAACTTTTTTTCAGGTTATGAAGGAAGAGCAGGAATGGCTTCTATTATTTTAAAACCAAATGAATCTTTAGATTTGGAAAAACTTTATGAACAAGTTGTAACATCTCTACCAGCTTATGCATGTCCACGATTTTTAAGAATTCAGGTAATTTTAGTGGTGGAGTTTACTATCAAATTTAAAGCCAGAAAACAAGGATGTAGTTTAATTGCAAAATAATATTGTATCCTTTAGATAACATGCAGGTTATAATGAGAAGCATGGTGTGTAGAGTTGATGCAGACTGCTTCCATGTTTGAAGCCTAATTATAAAGGGAGCATGATGAAATGCTAGGGCATACCTGTCTTTGTCATAATTATAGAATTGCTCTCTTCCTCTTCAGTCAGGGCTCAGAGCAAAATGATGGTCCCAGTGATGGTGGCAGTCCAAAATTACATCTTACTCATATCTTGTGAAGACATTTGGTGCTATGTACCTAGAATTAGGTTCCATCAAGCAGACATCAAAGAGACTGCAAGATGTGTGCAGAACCTAAAGGCATCTGGCTTTAAGCAATCCTGATTTTAATTTTTATTGCCTTTCTGTCCAAATTCCCCCTCACCTGCAACTTCCCCATGTGAGAAATTCTGAGTTTATTTATTTTGGGATGAGGACTTTCTCTTGTTAAGTTACTGGCATAAGGCACAGTAAAAAGAAAATGAATTTACTTAACTACTGAGTAATCTCACTTACTCATTTATTCAACCATTTATTTAATATTGTGCCTAAAATATAATTTTCCAAAATTAGTACTCATCGTCTCTTAACATCCAACCACCCATTTTTTTTCTGAATACATTTGTTATTTGACTACTAGACCCCTAATGGAGCAACAGTCTGTGTCATATTCAGGTTTACAGTATTTACCAAGTAATCATGGCAGCCACGTCACTGCTTGTTCAATGGGACACATTCTCCGAATGATAATAATATGTGTTTCATTTGCCTTTTTAATTTTAAGTTTTTACACTGTCTCAGATTGTTTTAACAACAACTCTCTGAAACACTAAAGGTAAGTAAATATGAAGCAGAAGTAATGTATTTTTATTGAAATTTTATCGAGATAGTTGTAGATTCACATGCCGTTATAAGAAATAATAAGAGACAGCTTGGATGTCCTTCACCTTGTTTCCCCCAAGGATGACATTTTGCAAATCTGTCACAATCATGATATTAACATAATCTACCCATCTTATTAAAAATTCTCCTGCTTTACTTGCAGCCATTTGTGTGTATGTTTTCTACACAGTTTTATCACCTGTGGAATGTCATGCATTCATGACCACAGTAAGGATAATGAAGTTTCAACATCACAAGTTTCCCTCATGTTGCCCTTTTACAACCATTTCCAGCTCCCTTTTGTCCCTCCTCATCCTCACCCCACCCCATAAATAATATATTTTGATGAGTGGAAAGTTGATAGGACAAATAATATTTTAAGAATTTTTTTCCAGGTCAACATAAAATTCACTTTCATTAAGTAGAAGAAATATATTAGCACAAGACTACTTTAGAAGATTAGATAAGCTTTGCACAAATTTAGAAACTATTTTAGGCTCTTTGAGATAGCGCCACTACACTCCAGCCTGGCGCCTGGCAAAAGAGCAAAGAGCGAGACTCTGTCTCAAAAAAAAAAAAAAAAAAAAAAAAAACAGAAAGTATTTTAGGCTCTTTATACACCTGAAAAGAACATGGATCATGACTGTTATGTTTATTATAATATTTGCTATAGTTAGAAATAAAGCCTGACAGAAGTCAAATATTTGTTTAATAAATGACTTATAATAATAAATGATCTGATAAAAGGAATGCAAAAGTAAAAGTTACTTCTAACAAAATGAGTCAAACAAGTATTGTATTACAAATCTATTTAGCACAAATTAAAAATAGAAGAACGCTTTTGCCAATAATTCACAAAAATTTGAAATGTTATAATATTAATTGTGGTTGGGATAAAACAAACTTCGTTCTTTCATTCTGCACGTGGAAACACAAATTGTTATAACCTCTCTAGAAAACAATTTGGTAATATATGATCATACTCTTAACAGTTTGTGTATATTATGACTTAGTCAAAATACATCTTAGGAAGTAATCAAAGATGTATAAAAGTTATATGTGCATATATTTCTCAAAGGAATATTTATAGTAGTAAAACTTTTGATATTCTCTAAAAGTTCAAGAATAAGGGCAAGGTTAATTAAAATATGATAATTAAATGAAACCTTATAAAACTATTTTCAAAGTTCGATTTTGAAGAAAATTACAGGACCCAGGAAAATATACTTGTATAATATTAAGCCTAAAAAATGTTAGAGCACCAAATTGTATAAATACAGTGAGCTTCTAATTTTTTAAAAAAGAATAAAAGGATATGTTTGCTTGCACAGCCATATCTAGCTGTGATGACAGTGTTGGGTCAGGGGAGATGGAGGAGGGAAGGGAAATCGGGAAAGGGAGCTTAAAGTGAAGTTGACTTAAATAGCCCAGAAGGATGAATAAAAATGGCCGAGCTACTCATAGAATGTTGCATGGGTCTCTACATGTCATCTCATCTAAACAGACTATTTATCCATGCCTGAGATTCTCACAATGAGATGCACTCTTGTCTCCATTAAGCACTTTGAAATAGAGATTCTTAAACCTTCTCCACTCATGGCATCTTTAATGTCTCACAGCACTCTTGGCTCAAAACAAATACCTAAACATTTGTTTATTCATTAGTTAAGGAAAAAACAAATTAATAAGTATTTAGGTCTAACAAAGTAGTAGCCGCCTGAAAAATAATGCATATAAATTTTAAAAAGCTCTCATTTCATTTTCAAACAATCACAATCACTTACTAAGGAGATGTAACTTGAGCACTACACAGTTCTTCAGACCTTGGAATTAGATTGGACTGGATAGGAACAGCCTGATTTCATGTTCCATGATGATTTTTGGCTGCACTTGATTTTTATCCCAGCAACTACTGAAAACCCAATTTTGCATAGATATGACATCATTGAAAGGAATGTATTACAAATTACTATTGAAACTGTGAACCTTGAGCTAGTAGTTTCTGAGTGGTGACTAATAGATGTCACTGAGTTTCTCTTGAAAACAAGGTACCCTGTGAGGGCCCTGGAAACCCACTGAAGTACCCCAGGTTTTAGAGCATACAAGTAACTCCTCTGGGTACATTTAAGCCATGTTTTAGAGCATTCCGTACTCCATCTGCTCTTATAGTACTCTGCTTTTTTGTGATAAATTTGTGTGTACTTGTAGTAGAAATTGCCGTCTTTTGTGGCTTTTATCTCCTTAGCATCTTATAGCATTCTTTATACATGACATTATATTGGCATTGAATTGAAGAGATAACCTATGCGTTTTTGGCATAATTGCAATCAGTTTATTGATTATGTTCATAAATCTTATATTTTGAATAAGTTAATATTTGAGTAAAGTTTACAGGTAAATCAAACTAAAGATTTTAATATTCTAAAACTTTTTTTATTTCTAATGTTAAATTATTAGTAGCAAATATAGAGATCACTAGGTATAAAATGTTATAATTTAATATTACAGTCTATAGTTGTAACTATATATTTATATTTTGTAGTTATTAAATGATTCTACTCATCCTGGTAATTGCTTTATAGGAAAAAATGGAAACAACAGGAACATTCAAACTATTGAAGTATCAGTTGGTGAAAGAAGGATTTAATCCACTGAAAATTTCTGATCCACTTTACTTCATGGATAACTTGAAAAAGTCCTATGTTTCATTGACCAGGGAAATTTATGATCAAATAATGTTAGGGGAGATAAAACTTTAAGATTTTGTATATATAGAACTTTCATATGCTTTCCTAGGAAGAGTGAGAGGAGAGTATATGATTCTTTACTAGGAAATAGGGACAGAGAGCTAACATTAATTATGTATGTTCTATATTTCCTTAATATGGGAGATAATTTTTTAATTGCATAAGAATTTTAATTTCTTTTAATCGATATAGACTTTAGTTGATTATTCTTTTTACCTATTTGGAGATTCAGTCTATAACTAAATATTAATATTAAAGATTTTAAATAATAGTGGCTAACGGTTTGGACAATCACTAAAAATGTACTTTCTAATAAGTAAATTTTCTAATTTTGATAAATGATTAAATTTTACTGAAATATTTTTATGTATCCTATCCTATAACTTAATAACATAATTTTTATTAAAAATGTGTTTTCAGTTTTTGTTCTGGTGTTTTTAATTGTAACCTTCCAGTCAAAGAAAGCTGGCTGGCTAAATGGAAGCACTGATATCTCCTTTATCTTAAACTCACATTAAAATAATAGAAGAAATATAAAAATGTGAAAAAGCAGATCAGGAAAACTGATAAGCTCAGAGCACTTAGGAATTTTTGGAAGATATATAAAAGGGATAATTTGATAATAAAATCTGCCTAAACCACTCATGATACAGAAAAAGCATAGACTAGGAGAGAGCCCTGGAATTATCATCAGGATTAAAAACAAAAAGGGCTGCAAGTTTGGACAGTTTTGCAATTAGTTAATGGGGAAATTTATTATAAGGATAATCTGATGAGCACAACTGTACTTATCTCAAGCTGGAAGCACGAGGCTCCAGTATTTCCTTCAAGCTAAAACCACAAAAATGACTTTATTTTTAATTATTTTTATAATTTTTTAAAATTATACTGTAAGTTCTGGGGTACATGTGAAGAATGTGCAGGTTTGTAACATAGGTATACATGTGACATAGTGGTTTGCTATTCATCACTCCATCATCTACATTAGGTATTTCTCCTAATGCTTTCTCTCCTCTATTCTCCCACCTCCCCCATCCCTCCCCTAGCTCTGCACCCCATGTCAGGCCCCTCATGTGTGATGTTCCACTCCCTGTGTCCATGTGTTCTTATTGGTCAACACCCACCTATGAGTGAGAACATGTAGTGTTCAGTTTTCCGTTCTTGTGTCAGTTTGCTGAGAATGATGGTTTCTAGTGTGGAGATTCCTCAAAGGTCTAGAAATAGAAATACCATTGACCCAGCAATCCCATCACTAGGTATTTTATTTTTATTTGTTTAAATTGACATGCTTTATTTGGTTT